ATTTTGTACCAATTTGTACCATTAAAAAAAAAACCTAATTTATATCACAACATAATTTGTACTGTTAAAATATACATTTTCTATAGATTCCTATAGAAACTATCCTAAATTCATATTCCTTTTATACGAGCAAAATCAATCGTTATTTCTCCAATAAAAATAACATCATTTGTACGGTTAAAATGTAAATTTTTAGATTTGATACCCTTGTCTTTCCTATAGAAACTATCCTAAACTCATATTAGGCTCGAGCAGAATCAATAGTTACTTCTGCAATAAAACTAAGATAATTTGTACAGGGTGTGTCATGTATCAGTGACTAATACCAACTTTCTTATTTTAAATGTAATACTCTGTATATTTTATAATCTTTGGATTCTTCAGAAAATTCTAAACAAATTTTATATGCTATGTCTTATGAACTGTTTTGAAAATATTAAATCTTTTCTGATTTATTGCAAAAATTAACATTAATAAAATAAAATAATTTGATTACAGAAATTTGTATTTGTTACAACACACTCAAAAACTAATAAGTAATACTGTTTATTTCTTGATAATGTAACAAAACAAAAACACATCTTGGCAACATCCTAATCTAAAATAAAAATGTCAACATCTCAGGCGCGACCGATCTAATCGCCAGATTAAGTCAGCTAGGTCGAGGTTTAGTTTTTTTATATAATACTTTTAACATATCCCCAAAAGAAAAAGTCTAATGATGTCAGATCAGGGGATCGTGCTGGCCAGTCCATCGATCCTCGCCTACCTATCAACCGATTTGGAAATATGTCGGACATTGATTTGGTAATGGGACGGTGTTTCATCTTGCTAAAACCATATCATATCCGCTGAAACTTGTGGGTTTGCTGGTTCGGGACATAAGTATTTTAAAGTTGTCACGACATTATTTTGGAGTAGTTCTAAATAATTATTTCCATTCAAATTGCCATTATTGAAAAAGGGGCCTATGATATGATCGCCAACAATTCCTGCCCAAACATTAACTTTTTCAGGGTATTGCGTATGTTCTTCTCTCATTCGGTGAGGATTTTCCCTGAACAAATAGCGGCAATTTTGAGGAATGGCACGACCGCGAAGTATAAAGGTACACTCATCAGAAAACAAAGCATGTTCTGATTGGATCACCATATTATCTAACATTGCCATCATTTGTTCACAAAATTGCGTTCTCCTATCAAACTCGTCTTCCATGAACTCCTTAATTGCTATTATTTTATAGGGATATATTTTATTTTCTTTTAATGTTCGAATAATCGTTGAATGGCCTAATATCGAATATTGGGGCTGCTTGTCGACTAAAAATATGTCGGTTTTCCTAAAACTCAAGCACAATATCCAATTCGGTATCATTAGTTATTGAATTGGCAGCAGTTTTTTTATCTGCCTTACATGTCCAAGTTCGCGAAACTACTTTCTATTTTACCAATTGTCCCTTGGAATATACTCGGCAATTTGGAAATTTTTCATGAAATAAGCGAGCAACTTTTATTTGTATCCGTGTATTATCTTCACAACCAATCATCTGTGGAATTGTTATTTTTTGAATTTCTGTTAAACGAACCATTTTTCTGATAGACACTTAAGGCTATAACACTGACAACTATTGCCATGCAGTCAGAAAACAATCTGCTAGGGTCAGGCGTTTTAAACAAAAGTAAACAAAACTATTTAAGTATAGCTTTCTTTATTTCATATCAGTAAAAAGGAATGCTGAAATAGTTTTTGCTTACTTTCTCATTATCAAATCCATAATAGGAAATAAGTATTGAGTGTGTTCTAGCGAATTTCTGTAATCAATTTTATTTTGTTAATGTTAATTTTTGGAATAAATCAGAAAACATTTAATATTACCGAAACAGGTATAGAACATAGTACATAAAATATGTCTAGCATTTTCTTAAAAATCTAAAAATTGAAAAATATACATGGTGTTGCATTTAAAATAAGGAAGTTGGTATTGGCCACTGTTACATGATACACTCTGTAAAAAAAATGTGCAACTAAAAATACTAATCGATGTGTCCGAGCGTTTTTCTGAACACGCCCCTATTTATTTATTACCCAATTTATTCCATGTGGCTGTTCCACACTGTATATAGTTGACGTGCCAAAGAGATGGAGAAATAAAACTGCGTGATCGAATATCCAGGACAGAACCACCGTCCCTCGAAACCTCCTTTGACCAAATTATAGGCCAGGAGCAGGTTTTAGTAGATTATTATGGGAACCGTGCATGTTTTCCTTTAGACGAAGAAGATATTATTTTGAATGCAAGTGCTAAAAAGTGATAACTATTTTTAACTGTACTACATGTAACCGTAAAATCGTTATGGCCCGTTTGAAATTTTTAATTAACCGAACTTTAACATTAATTTTTCGATGGGCTGTTGATGGCTGTTTAGAGTAAAGATTTTATCGTGCTTAAATTCGGTATATTTTTTTATAGACCACTCCAATATCTAAATTGATTTTAATTATATTGTGACGAAGTCACTAAATTTTAATTTGAATTAATTATAAAAATGTATATTCCGATCAAAAAATAAATTTCATGCAAATTGTCTAAATTGACTGTCAAGGTGTTTAAAAGTAATTTTTTTGAAATCAGTATTAAACAGTCCGAAAACTGGTGGTGGCTTCTCCCACTCTAAAATTGTGCAGGTGGAGCACTTCTGGAGCGAGGACAAAAAATTCACTCTCAATTTCTGACCACCGTGACTTTACTTCCTGTACTCCGAAGCTCTTGATTTCTGATCGCCGTAAGTGTTTTTTGAGTGCTGGTATCCCGACGTCCTAGAGACGAGTGAAAAGTTAGTGAACCGTTCATCATTTTCTGTGTCCGCATTCTCCAAATCATAATCAAGGTAGGTCTTTACATATAATTTGACAATATTTTGATACGAAGTTACCGTTCTCGTCTCGCCCTCTTACCAATCACTGATTTTTTTTAATTATCGCAATCTAGCGTTGTCAAACCTCCCTTGGTCGAGTTATTTGCGGATTTCTCTAATAAGCTCTGATCCAGGAATCTTTATAAGCAGTCACCCGGTTTGGCATTTTTATTATTAACAAAAATTAAATTAGCGCGATCTAGCGTTGTCAAACCTCCCTTGGTCGAGCTATTTGCGGATCTTTCGAATAAGCTCTGATCCAGGAAGCTTTACAATAGACCGTCCCGTATTGGCAATTCAAATTAATTTTCGCGCGCCTGTCATTTGTCACTTATAAGTAGGATGTTTGTTTATTTACATGTTTTTGTTTTGGGCGGATTTTGTATTTGTGATTGTTTTAACTGTTTTTAGATAAATATTCTCATTGTAATAGTGTTTTTGAGTTTCATTTAGTGTTAATTTAAGTTCGCTTTCGTCATTAAATATAATATTTATCATGTGTATGACTTATTTGTTGGAAATATTCACCTATTGGTTGCTACAAGAACATCTAGAAATATGCAGGTATTTACTAAACCCAGGACATGTTTTATTATGGGGTTTAAAGGGCATTTCAGGTACCACACGTTTATTATTGATGAACTTATTTAAAAATCTTACTAGACTTATTCTTATATTATGAAGTGAATCATGTAGTACTTTGTATACATGTAAATGGTAATAAAACCGTCACAAATCAGATTACAGTTTGATTCTAAACAAAGTTTTGTAAAATTTCAATATTGTGAATTTGTAGATAGTCATTTATCGTAAAAAACAAAATTTTACGACTTGCACTTGAAAAATATTGAATACTTCAGTTTTGATTTTGACAACACCATATAGATTGCAATTTTCTGGGGACGTTTTTGCAGATTTCATTTTTAATATAAACACTATCACATACTATAAGAAATAAACAAATTTAAAGCTAAAAAGTAAGAAATAACTCGAATTGTAATTGATACAAATTAAAACGTAAACAATGAACAGGAACGCCAATGTTGCCAAATGATCAACTGATTTTAAAACAAAATTAATAAATGAACTGAAATTTAAAAAAAAATTCAATATAATAAATCAGTTTTATAAAAAAATCCTTAAATAAATATAGAGTATGATTACATATTACCACACACAAATTTTGATTTTTAAATAAAATATCTTATCCACTTCTTTAAAAGCTAAAATCCGACGACGTAGCGAAGTTTTGCTACTTCTGGCAACACTGAACGATATCCTACTTATACGGACCTTCTACAAATTTCCTCCAGAGGGCGTATCACTTAGCTTAAATCGCGAATAGCATGCATAACTGTCATGTAAGTAGTATCATTTTATGCAAAAACGCAGGCCGACGTCTCTAAATTCACTGTCCGCGGTGTATTGGTTATTTTACCAATTGATTTGTAAAAGATTGATTACTAACTATAGTATAGAAATTGTATTCCTCGTAAAATTTCATTTTTCATATGGGACGTAAACTTCAATTAGTAATCTCCAAGAAAATTATAAAATAACGATTATAACGATTATGGATTTTTATAATCTAAGGATTTATCCCATTTACATTTTTAATACAATTATAGTCACATTTATAGATTTTGAACCCTTATATTACTTGTTATAATCTGAGCTGAAACCTTTCTACCCACTTGTCATTAACTTTCACCTTGACATCAAAAATTTCCAAGAAGTCAATAATGAATAAGGATTTAAACAATTTAATGTAGGTATACCTAATAGTCAAATTTATAGGTCTTAAAAATATTTGTTATTTGTTATATACCTACATACCGAGATAATACTCAATAATACATATTGAAAAAACTATATTTTTAAATTATGTTTTTATGTACCCCGTAAATAATACTATAGGCACCCACACCTGAAATTTCCTGATCCGACAGATATATTACTCCGTTTCGATTGCGATTCTACGATAGTATTTAATAACGAAATAAAAATAATTGGTTCACTTGTCAAAAAGGTTCGCCATCACTACTCTACTCTAAAGAATAAATAACAACTAGAATATTTTCTTACCATCTATATTTGTTTGAAAATTTACTGATTCGTCAAATATCCATTTATTCTGATTTCTTGAAGTAGACATCATTAGTGTGTAATTGGTATATGGTTGTAACTGATGAAATTGTTGGGATAAACCATTTTCCGTATAATCAAAGATCTGCGAAGTAATGTTCCTTTTATTACACCATTGCGAAATACACAATAAGATAATTTTCATTTTAATAGGTCCTGTAAAATCATTGCAAGGTATTGGCTTTATGTCGAATGTGACTTGTGTTTTTCTTGGATAAATAATTTGTATTTCCATTTTTTCATTTTCAGATAGTTCTAAAAATAATGATCATAGTTAAATCAAAAAAAGTCTGTAAGCCCTATTTTAAAAATTTATTTAGTGTTTATTGAGAAAAAAATAACCATTCTTAAAAATAATTAACAAAAAATTTGAATTTTCAAATTTACTTTATGAATAAAATAATTCGGCTTCAGCCGGGATATGAACCCGCAACGAATGGCATGGGAATTACCGTTGTTCTTACTTTTCATTACAAATTATTTAACAGTTTCCGAGTTATTAAAAAAAAAAATATATTTTTAATTTGTAGCTTCAAAATGCTATAACTTCTCTTGTGGTATAATTTATGACCTATCTTTTTGATGCACCTTATATTCTTCGTTTAATGTAGATATTACAAAACAAAAATGTTCCCAGAGATTATTTCACGTATTATGTTTTAAAAACACTGTGTAAAGAATCATTTTTACACAAGTGATGTAGAATATTTTTCCTACGACACAAAATAAGTTCATAAAGAAATATAAAACCAGGTAATTTGACCAATCAACACAGAGAAAAATTTGTGCTAATTTTAAGCACAAAATTAACATTTTTGGGTTTGTTTTTGAGCCAAGCATGCCACATTCTTTATTTAGGACATTTTTAAGCACGCATGCTAATAAATCGTCTCTAAATGAGTGATTAAATCGAGCACCAAAATTGTTCAATTAAGTATTCTAATAGGCAAATTCGAAACGCTGCAGGTTATAGTCGAAAGTCATAGCGAAAAATTCAAAATTAGAAATACACGGAGGGGGGGGGGGGCAGACGCCCTTCCTTGACTTCGTGTGTCGGCGCTCATTAAGAGCCCCGCATACCGCCTGATCAATTCAAATGCGGGATTTGCTGGTTGCGTCGTCTCTAACATCCATCTCTTTTTATCGAAATAAACAATATCAACTGAGAATACATTGAAAAAGTTGTTTCTAAATTCGGATACGCGTATATAAATATGGTAATAGAAGCGAAACGACGGTTAGCAAAAAAACTGTGTTTTACCGTTTTTTAAACTATATACGCGCCAATATGACGAAAACTGTGCAAAAATTCGTAAAAATTTATTCTTGATTATTATTAGGCAAAAGCTTAAGGATTCTAATAGTTTTCAAATCATATTTTTATCATAAGTCATAAGCGAGATAATTAAGGTAAACTAACATTATGTCACAATATGCTTGATGTACAGAAGAATATAACTTATTAACATATTTATAAGTGCGAAAATTGCTTACAGGAATTTAAAGTGGTAAATATATTTTGTATTTTTTAATTTATTAAAAGTCGGGATAAAAGCTAAAAGATGTGCAAATTTTTATGTTCTAATAAAAAGTTGAATTATAAATTCAAATAACTAATTAAATTTAATTTTTTTAAAAAATTGTTCAAATAAAAGTTGTTTGTAATATCATTCTCTATAATTCTTATTCCACACAAAATTTCTCTAAAATAGACCGTATTCGATTTATTTGAGAAAACGTAAATTTTGAATTAAAAAAAAAAAAACAAAAAAGGAAACAGAGAAAAACAAAAAATTTTAAATTTAGTCTGTAATCCATCCTGCGGTAAAATGATTAAATTTTGGTAGTCGTAACATCTGGGGGATACCTTATAGAGGGTCGTTTTTCTACTTTATGAAATATATCTGTTATTTACACTTAGAGAAGAAAATTCTTCAAATAAAAGTTGCATATAATGCTATTCTCTATAGTTTTTGTTATATACATAATTTTTCTAAAATGTTCCATATTCAAGAAATTTGACAAAAAGTGTAAAATTCCAATTTGTAAGAAAATTGCTCAAATAATAAAGTTATTTGCGAAATTATTCTCTATAATTTTTATTCTTTATATCATTTCTCTAAAATGGACCGTATTGGAAGAATTTGAAGAAAAATATAAAATTTAAATTTTTCAGTATTTTCGTTGTCAATGAATATTTACAGGGGGTTATACAAAATAACCGGAAAAAGATTGTAATAACTAGACAGGAAAGTCGTGTGTTGGACACATCAGATTTTTAAATATAATGTTTTGAGTGTCGTGACAGTGACAGTTTATATTTATTTTTAAGAGAAATGAAAATAAGTATTGTACTAATTGTTTTTCAAAATATATGAAATGATTATAATTTCACCTAATGTCTACCGGCAAAAGACCGGTAGGCCTTCGTTCAAGCTGACGGTCCTCTTTCAGGCAGTGGGCCCTCTTTCAGGCAGTGGGCCCTCGTTCGGGCAGTGGGTCCTCGTTCGGGCAGTGGGTTCTTGTTTAGATTTTTTGTTTGCAGATTACATTATAAGGTTTATTGACAAAGTCCAAATTGACATAACATTTATACCTAATACTTAATTAGGCAGGATCGGTTTCGTGGCCAATATAAATCAAACAATTTTTGTCATAAAATATATTTATTGTGTTATCTTGCTTGTTGTATTTTAATATTCACTGTTAATGTAATAAACTGATAAAGCATTGTATGCTGAACTTTAAACCTAAGAAATTGCATAGGTACCTAAATAAATAATCTGTCTACTTTTGCAAGTTTTGGTCAAAAATTTGTTTAGGTAAACTTTAATACGATGGAAATTAACATATTTTACTGAAGTACATTGCTTTTAAAATTCTATGTGATAAAATTTTGTTCCTAAGTTATGTTCATAGGAAAAATTGTATACATAACTCGTTGAAAATCGTTATTTCTGTACTCTCACTTTCCAAATTAGTTTTGGAATATACCATTTTTTTACTTCTTTTACGCTTCTAAAAAAATGTATTGCATTTAACTTCTCCCAAGACATAATTAAAAATAATAATTTTTTAATGGGAGGAACTTCCTACAACTAATATTTCTAAAACCATTACACATAATCTGGTGGTCTGCGCATCGCAGGTTCTGTCTCCGACCTACGTGTGGTAGCAGTTCTTGCTTACAACACTGAGTATCTAACGCAAACCACATAAAAATAGTACTAAAATTACTTACGTCCTCCAATATTGTTACAGATTCTTTTTCTTTTTAAAGAACAACACAAATAGTTTTTATTAATTTTAGATTTTCTTTTTGGATTTATTTATTTTTAAAAACTAAATATACAACAACGCAATCACCGCACAGTCACAGAAACAATAGATGCACACGTTATGCAGTAAAATTTAGTATAACCTACTGTTATTGTATTGTACTCTTAGGCCCGGTTTTTCAATGTAATGTTAAATTGAAGATATCTTATAAAGATTTAAGAAGACGCCAAATTTTCAATTCTTGGAATTTGGAATGTTTATATAAATCTATTCAAGAATCTATTATTTAGGCAGAGACAACATTTAACTGTAGGTCCCGAACTTCATCAATGATCATCTCAACAGTCCGCTTCGACAATCTAAATATTTTGAAAAAATCTAAACTAACATATTGTTCCATAAAATTAAGCCTCTGTCGAATTATTTTCGGCCTTCTCACTATTTCTTCCTCTTCGCTATTGTAGACATTAACAATATTTAAAGCATCCATAATGTCAAAGCACATGTAGGTTATAAAGTGAAGATTATCTCTTAACAATGGGTTAACAGTACCCTGAGAGTAAGGTTAAAATTAGCTTTCGGTTAGTCTTTAACTATCAATTGAAACAGAAATGTTTTAGTTAACATTCAGTTAGCTCAAGGTTAGAGTAACTACACATTTAAAAACCGGCCCTTAGTACTTTTAGTAATTAGGAATTTTTAAAACAATGGGCGTGTCAAGCGTTTGATCTCCTTTTTTCTTTTACCCTGTTCTTTAGTATCCGGTCGGCGTAATAAATAATTATCATAGGTATGTAATAGGTAATTAGTAAATTATATTTCTTGTTTGGAACTAAGATTTCTTACAAAACCATTTGCTCAAATTTAGGTATATTGTTTATAAAAATTCTTTACGGATTTAAAATTATTTTGCTAATTTTCCAACGAAGAGATTCTAATAAAATACATGCATTTTAGCATTGTATTCATTTAATTTAGTATATAAGTAACTAATATTTAATGTAGCCTTATTATTTATATAGTCCGTAATAATTATAATTACGAGATCGTTAATTGTATATGTGTTTCAATAAAATATCTACGCTCAGCACTTTCAGTGTTATGTTTTCCAGTGTATGCTGAGAATCCCGTCTCTAATGGTCTACGTATTACTTAGTTCTAAAAAAATCCGCCGGGTTTTGCGATGGCAGCAAAAATCAGTGGCAATTACTTAAATTTTATTTTGATCATATCTCTCTTATTTGGTGAGAAAAAATTCTCCGGTTTTTTTTAATCGGTTTTAAATTTTACTTGTAAAGGAGGCTGTTTTTTAGAATTTCAATTTTTATCGTAGTTTAAAAAATAAAAATTTCATAATTTTTTTTTAAAAATGTAAAAAACACGCTCCAATTGTATAAAAATTACCAATCGACTAGTGAAAACAAAAAAAATATATTTTTAAAAATAAGGACGTTACGGTCAAAAAACGAAATATATGTGGTGTGCGGGGCTCTTAATGTGTCCCTTAAAGTTGTCCACAAATGGGAAACTTTTGTATTATTAGTTTATTAGTGCAAGCAGGAAACTAAATTAACAACGTTGCCAGTAAACGCTTGCCTGACTTCGTGGGGAAAATTCTTGTGTATGCACCGTTGACCGTCTGTGTGTATTGTGTCGTCTGTCAGCGTTCTGCGCTGTGTAATGTGAATTGCGAATAGGCACACAGCGACAGATATACCCACAATCCCAACACAGCCGGGCCGTTGGCAACGTTGATATTATTTGATATTATTTGATATTATTTGTTTTCTGAACTAATGCGAACTCTGTTGTTTTCGCTTCGACACGAGCAACCCGTATTGGAAGGTTTTTAATAGGCGATGCTGTATATGTATACAAAATAAAATTTCATATTCATACAATTAACACCAATTTTATGATTGCAATTTTTTTTTTCATCGCACCAATGAAAATGTCTACACTATACAAAATAATAA